CTATCTATCTATCTATCTATCTATCTATCTATCTATCTATCTATCTAGACACAGGAGCCTGAAGCTGTTTTCCCTACAAAATCTTGGAATCACAAAATACCTACCATAGCAGGTTCAGCTAAGCAATGGCAGATCAGGTGATGGTTTTCCAGCTGCAATATGTTCAAGAGAACATATTTCAGATCCTGCCTTAGAAAGTTGTAGGAAAATTGTAGGAAGCTATTCCCTTGGGTCTTTCTTTTCCTAGTTTTTTTCAGTTCAATACATTTGTATACCTGTTTATTGTAGATATGAAAAAGGGTGTTTGGCACATTTCCTAACCTGATTCACTGAGGTTATGTTTGGCCATCACTCTGTCTGCTTTTAGATCAGATGTAGTTCCTTGCTCTTTAAATAATAATTTGCAGGGTTTTTTTCCCTTTGTCTGATATGTTAGAAGTGAGGAAATAAATTGATACCATGATAAATTAATCAATTAATTAATAACCAAGAATCTAAGCAACTTAATGGAGTTGAGGATGATAATGCAAGAAGCAATTTTGGTGAAATATAGTATGATTATTTTTCTTTAAAGTATTCTATGGGATTTTTTTTTTCAGATAAATTTTGCTTCTTGTTGTGTTCTGTAATGATTGAGCAGGGTAATTAGACAGCATATTGTTCACCAAACAAAACATTTCTCTGTGACATTCTTGAATTATAGTGGTTATTAACTGACAAATCTCTTATTATTCATCTTGTTGTGTACTTTTAAAGATTGCTAGATCAGCAAGCTTAACAAATATCAATGGGAGAGTGCTGATTTAGAGGAAACATGTCGATTTTAATTGGTCTTATTCCACTGCATGTAGCATACAGCAATAATAGTAGAGTTTGTCACATTTGAGGTCAAAATAATTTTAACTCTCTTACGACATTTCCTCTTCTGGTCTTTTCTTGTTAGACTACTCAAAAAAAGACTGCAAATGGGCAAGGTTGGGAGGTCAACAATTGCTGAGGGAGGATGGAATAATTTTGGCCCACACTAGATAAGTATTCATCTGGTCATGGCTCTTGGTATATTAAGGCTTATCCTTCCTTCTGGCAAACATAAATCCATAGGTCAAGGCAAGCAACAAAAACAACTAGAATTTGGTGTAATAAATTTAGATTTTTACCATTGTGTTATTAAAGATTCCTACAAGTCAGAAGGTCCAGGTCTTCTTTTTGCCCCACTCCCCTTTCTTTCTTGCTGAGGAGATGAGCCTTCTGAGAATATACTGTAGTTATAACTAGATGTGTTAGTTGTATGGCAATAAGAAAAGTGCCGTCCCTATATCCTGGATGGTAGTGATACACAGATACCCAGCAACCATCAAAAGTGCGAGCATGAAAGTTTCGTGCCATCATCTTATCCATGCCATCTTTCCCCTGTGTTAATAATTAATCTAATACCCTTGAATTGTATTTATGGTCTCTGTGCATCACATTTATGGGACTTTAACCTATTCAGTACTGAATCTTCTAGGAAAGTCCCAAAGCTGAGCATTATGACAGAACTATCTTTTAATGCACATTCCTTTCTGTAAGATATGCCTGCTTCTGTTCTTCTGCCACACTGGCAATGTTTTAAAGTGCCATGATCACTGCTGAGTATTCAGCAGTTAGTATTCTGTTACTTCATTCTTCCTTGGTTGCCCTTCTGTCCTTAGCCTTTTTATTTTCCTTGGGTTTGAGACAGGGTTTGTTGAGGCTTTCCTCTTGACCTTTGGCCTCAAGGCTGTTCTTTTGCACATATGTGAGCTGCACAAATAAGCCCCTTGACAGCAGCTGATAGATATTCTCTGGCCTTCTTCTATCTCAGAGAACTGCCATCAAGTTGACACTCACATGAGTCTGCCATAATCACTTTTCAAGGTTTCATGCTTCTCTTTGGGAGCAGGTGCTTTAAACTGTGGCTCCAACCATATCATGTCCTGGGACTTCAGATTGTTCTGGCCAAACCACCCGTTCTTCCATAAATAGATTACTGGACAGAATTTGTAAAAGGCAGCTTCTTTAGATCTGGCAGCCATGAATGAGCAGTAGGCAAGCTGGTAGTTTCTTGATGGTGTTTTTGAATGCAGCTCTTATAGTTACTGAAGCTTACTGAAGTTGTATTCCTAAAGATCTGGATAATGCCAGGTTATCCACTCTGGCAGAATTGTTTTATGAATTCAGGTTCAGCCATGACCACAGAATTAACACAAATATAAACAGTGACATTTCCTACTTTCCTGGGATAATGACCTTTTTTTAAAGTGCACTTCTCCTGATAAAACTTCTTTTTTTTAGTCATTTAATGAACTTGAATTTCTTTTAAATCTACTTGGATTCTTTCAGTTGGATGCAGAGTATCCTTGGTGTGCTTTGAATGAAAAACTAAATCTTCATGTCATTAAAAAAAAAAAGCAAAGTACTTTTTGAGGGGCTTCACAGTTCAGCAGGAAATTAGGCATAAATATATGGCCTCAAATGCAGCAGCAAAGAAAGAGAGAAAGAGAAGGTAGAGGAAAGAAATTCAGCCAGTGATGATAAATACTTAATCTTATTGTAAGTGTGCAAATTGGAAGCTTTTAATTTTAACAGGAAGCATGAACTTTGAGTTGCTGCCTTAATAATAACAGAGTATAAACACAAAAGCATCCAGAAAACCAATGATTACAACTGAAATGTGCTACATTTTCTTGATAGTAGACTATATGTATATCCCCATTATTACACTTGGACTTCAGTAAGCAGATCTGCTTTGACATTTGGTATTTAAATTAAAAAGAGGCTCTTTTAGCTCTTTGAGCTTCATACAACCATTTAAGAATGAAACCAGAATGGTATTAGAAGATGACATTTCAGTGAAATGGTTCTCTTCTTGATGCTTCCTCTTCATCTGATTACAAGTAGTCCTTGCTTACCGACCTTCCTGAATGGTCGGTAAGCGTGCTTCTATGCTGAATAAGGGATACTTAAAACCAGTCCTTGGGGTTCTGGCTGTTGCAACATTCCCGGAGTCATGTCTTCATCATACAAGTGCTTGGCAACCAGCTCACCCTTACAGCAGTTGCAGCATCCCACAGTCACACAATTGCCATGTGTGATCTTCCCTGCTGGATTTTTGTAAGCAAAATCAATGGAGGGAAACTCACAAGTCACTGTGGTTATTCTCCCCTTTCCCTGCTGCCTTTTTGCACACCACACTGTTCCTAGACCTACATACAGAGTACACATACTACACTCTCTTTCCCTGGGCCTCTCCATGCCCCGCATGTATTGTTTGTAACTCAAGGACTACCTGTAGTAGAGTAAAGGGGAATTAGGAAAGCAGTAAACAGTATACAGTATACAGGTGCAGTATAAAAATGCCAATGTGCTGAAGTCAGTGCTTGGTGCAGGATTTAAGTTATGTGAAGGCAGTTGTGCTTTCCACAAAGTAAGGTGGTTATTTGGTGAGTATTTATTTTGGTAAGGAAATATGGAGTGTTTTTTTCATGCTCTTTAATTTTTATATGCTTAGTGTAATGGGCACAACATATTGTTTTGATTTGGGGCCAGGCGAAAGTCCCAATGGCTTTCCATATTATAAGAAAGCCATTGAAAGTGAGCTCGGACCGGAATCCTTTCTTCTAGGAATTATTAAAGACCAAATTCCAAAATAAGTAAAATATTTATTATTACATATTACCACAGCTGCCAGAATAGCTTTTGCACAAGTATGGAAAACTTCCAATATTTCTAATGAAGAGTTAATATTACAAAAAGTAATGGAAAGTGCTGAAATGAATATGTTAATGCTGAAATTGAAAGAAAGAGATGACTCTGAATATTTCTTAATTTGGAATAAATGGTATGATTGGGTAGCAAACAGAACTAAGAAATAAGACAAGAAACGCAAATGTAAGAATCCTCAAGAAAGTAAATTGTAAATTTGTAAAATATATAAGAATAATAATTATAGTTAAAGTTATTAATGAATATTAGATAAATATAAATATAATGTGTTAAGATATTTAAGATAGGAACCTGTTGAAACTATGTTTTATATTGTAACAACAGAAACTTAATAAAAACATATTTTAAAAAAAGTGAGGTTCCCACTTTAATCTGTTCTGTTAGTCTCTTTCTTGAAGAACTGCTTACAGAGATGTCTATGCCTGATTAATCAGAACTGTTTCCTGGATGAGAATAAAGACAAATGATTATTTAAACCTGCTTACGTACCATGACTTTCTTCCCTCAATCTGCGCTAGAGTGCCAGTTGATGAAGACAGAGAGACCTAAACCAAACACATTCATCATCAGATGCCTCCAGTGGACCACAGTAATTGAAAGAACATTTCATGTGGAGACTCCAGAGGAGCGGTATGTTTCCTTCAGTCTTAAATACAAAAACAACTTGCAAAAGCAGATGTAAATGTTCAGCATTATTAGAGAGCTCCATCTTCTCAAATGCTTCCTTTTTTATTGGTTTGGTGCTGTGGGCTTTACAGTCTCATTTGCCATGAAATTCACTTTTATCAGACTGGGTTGGGATGGAATAAAGAACTCTTGTAGAAGGAACTGCTTGCAATTGTGCATCGCTAATAAAAATGTACATTGCTTGCATACACAATAGAGTCCAGTATTTCTACCTCTCCCAAAAAATAGCCTTCAAGTATGTTGGACTAAAATTTCTGTCATCTGCTACCAACCAGGTGTCCTACTGTCCTATATACTCTAGTTTCCCCAAAAATAAGATCTAGCATGTTTTTTATGCATGTGGCTAATATAAGCCCTCCTCCCCCCACCAATAAGCCCTACTAAAGAGCCTGCGCAGCCAATTGGCCTCCCATTCTGTCTAGTTGCTCGCAGTGCCATGGCCATAAAGCAAGATGGGAGGGTGGTGGAGCTGCCCCACGTGCCCCACACCAGCTTACCTCAGGGCCCCTACAGCCAGGCCATCCATGCCCCAACATCTACCTTGTTGTGGCAGCACCAGCAGCCATATGCAGCAAGAGCCCACTTCTGCTTGCTTGCAGAGGAGGTTGAGCCATGAGGTAAGGCAGGTGTTGGGACGTGGATGACTGGCTGCGGGGGCCCTGAGGTAAGCCGGTGCAGGGCACGTGGAAGCAGCTCTATTCCCCCGTCTCGCCTCGTGGCCACAGCTCTGGTAGCCTCCTGCTCCATTGCGGCTGCAAGCAAGCAGAAGAAGTGGGCTGGTGGCCACACAGCATCCTACTGGACAGGGCTGCCGGAGCTACCACCACAAGATAGCCTGGCTGCGGGGGGGGGGGGGGGGCTGGGGTAAGCTGCTACGGGGCGCGGGGAGCAATTCCATCCCCCCTGCCTCACGGCAGCACTGGCACACCACAGGGTGTCCTGCCCCGCTGCAAGCAAGCAGAAGAAGTGAGCCTCCTGTACATGGGAAAAAATAAGACACCCACCAAAAATAAGCTCTAGTGTTTATTTTGGGGCCAAAGACAAAATAAGATCCTGTCTTATTTTCTGGGGAACAAGGTTAATAATCAGATGAACACATTTTTCTCCCTACTAGAATTTAAAATATCATAGGAGGGAAAATGGTGGTTCCTAACAGTATTCCTATTCATGTTTTCTAACATTTCAAACATGATTTAAGCCCTATTATTTTTTGGAAAATAAGTTTGGAAGTAAGCTTTGCAATTTCCCCATCTCTTTTCCAAAATCGCACATCACAATGAAATAATTTTTATTTTTCTCTTAGGGAAGAATGGACAAAAGCCATCCAAACAGTAGCAGACAGCCTTAAGAAGCAAGAGGAAGAAAACATGGATTTTCGATCTGGTTCCCCCAGCGATAATTCAGGTGCTGAAGAAATGGAAATTTCAATGACAAAACCAAAACACAAAGTAGTAAGTATTATTTCTCAGTCACACACACTCATGTAAATTCCACATGTCTTTTAGTGCCATAAGGTGCCTTTTTCAATGTGGTACCTGCCAGTTTCCTAAATCCTCATGTAGACTCAGTGTATCTAAAGACCATCAAATTGGAAGACCACCAATTTGAACATCTTTTGTAGCTTTGTGTTCTTCAAGTTACTTTGATTTAGCATTTACTATCCCTAAGCAATGGCTGTGTTGGTTGGGGTTTAGGAACTGGTGCAGTAATGCCTGGGGTAACTTTAGATGAGTTTCTTGTTGAAAAGTTAAAGGAGTAACGCCTAGCCCCTGTAGAGGTGAGGGACAAATTATATGGTTATATGGATACAGTACTTTCTAATAAAATGTTACATCAGGCAGGGAAATATCTAGAAGGCTGGAAATTGAGTTACGCTTAACCATACCTGCATTTTAGATTGTAAGATAGGTATAGCTTAATATAAATTAAGTATGAATTTACAAACTGAGGATGGCTTCCTATTTTTACACTCTAACCATTCCCAAGTATAGAAGAGCTTTCTCCCTAGCTCACTTCAATGTTCTGCCCTCAGCACTACTGGATGGGCGATTTAGGAGGCTCCCGATTAATGAGCGGCTGTGCCCCTGTGACAGAGCTGAGGTTGAAACGGGTGGAGCATGTCCTTTTATATTGCCCTATGTATAACGCAGGCAGATCTAAGTTACTGTCTCTCCTTGAAACAGACTCTTCTAGACCCAATGTTAGTAATTTGGTCTTATATTGTTTAGGGGATGGCTCCTCATATATCACTTCTTTGGTTTCCAATTTTTTTTTAAGAGCTGTAACCATCAGAGGAGAACACTGTAATTCCCCTTAGTCAAGTTTTTGGTGACCAATTGTTCATGATTAATTTTCCCACGTTCTTCTTTTGTTGTACTTGTGTTTTGTGACTGCAAATAAAGTATTTTTATCATTATATATTAAGTATGAATTAAAGAGCCCTGATGGCACAATGGTTAGAATGAAGTATTTCAATCCCGATTGGTTCAAAGTTGTCTCAGCCTTCCATCTTTCCAAGTTCAGTAAAATGACGACTTAGATTGTTGGAGGCAATATGTTGACATTTGTAAACTGCTCAGAAAGTGCTGTAAAGCACTATGGAATGGTATATAAGTCTTAGTGCTATTGCTATTAAATAGTAATTGGTAGCTTACCCAGGTATTAGATTTGTTGTATTTACTGTAGCAAATAGGAAAGTTTAATTTATTTACTCAATAAATCAATGGTCAATGTTTCTCAAACTTAGTAAATTCTGGCTGTATGAACTTCAACTCCCAGAATTCCCCAGCCAGCAGCATTCTGGGAGTTAAAAGTCCACACAGCTTAAAATTGCTGAAGTTGAGAAACATTGCCTTAAATAGTGACATATATTGAAACAGTTGTTCATTCAGATAATTCTGGAATATAGTTAGTAAGGGATTTCTTTACATCTTTATATACATATAAATGCATAAAGCAGAGGTGTCAAACTGGTGGCCCACAGGCTAGATGCGTCACATGCAGGCCACGCCCATTCCAGCTCCGCGAAGGGGGGAAATGTCACAATACGTCACGTGGCAGCAATGTGACACCGTGAGTTTGATACCCATGGCATAGAGTATCTGGGTTGGTTCATCCTTTATTCAGTTTAATTTTTTTGTTTTTAGCATAATGTGCAAATTCAGCCAGTATGATTTATCCTTCTTTTGAAAATCCTGGGTTCATGTGATAAGAGAACTGGTTGATCTGTCTAAGTTGTCAGTTATTTTCCTTCATTTACTTTTTAATTGGCCTATAACATTTTAAACCTGTTCCACAGACTATGAATGAATTTGAATATCTTAAACTCCTGGGGAAAGGTACTTTTGGAAAGGTTATACTGGTGAAAGAGAAAGCAACTGGACGCTATTACGCCATGAAAATTTTGAAGAAGGAAGTAATTGTCGCAAAGGTAAGGATGTCATGGTTTACCCGTTCTGATTTCTAGAACAGTAGGGATGCTGAATATGTCAGGAGTGTTTTTATTTTAAACTTAAGACTTTTGAATTTCAAGATGCATTTCATCTCATTTATGAATTAAATTCTCAGAGAAATGAGATCATTTCCCCCCTAAAATGACATGAAGCCATAGATTAGAACTAGCTGTACAAGCCTTAGCTTCTCCTTCTCCTTCTCCTTCTCCCTCATGCATTCCTTCCTTCACAGTTTAATGTCAGAGTTAGACAAGCTATGTTTTGTGTAATTATATTCAGCAATTAAAAGAATTGGGGAATAACATTGGGGTGTGGAAATCTGTTCTATTCTTTGAAAACTTGTTGCAGAACACATCAGTCAATTAATAAATCCTGAAATTGTCAATTTGAGCAAACTTCATACATAAAATTAAATCAGTGTAGTTTCCTTGGTTCTGATTCTGGATGATATCTGAACCCAATTGCAGTGCTTTGTAACCCATACTTTCTGGATTGGCATTATACGTGAGTTAAACAACTATAATTGAGGGAACATCTCTTGCTGGTCACATCTACCTGACCCATCAGAGTGAGGAGGCAGAGAATGTTGCAGGTCCCATCCGCTAGGGGGAGATACACTTGGTGGGACCCCGAAGAAGGGCCTTCTCCATGGTGGCCCCCTCTAGAACATCATTCCCCAGAGATTAGAATGGCCCCAACTCTTAACACTCTTCCAGAAGAGATTGAAGACCTGGTTCTGCCAGTGGGCCTGGGGAACCCAGAACAGGATGGAGCCCATTAAATGGCTCATGTGAGGTGCTGTCGGGTGGGTAGGGATGATTTTATTGTATTAATTTATTATATGACTCTTCTTTTATTAGTTTTATTGTTTTTATATGAAGTTTTATATTCTGTAAGCTACCTTAATTCGCCATGTGCGAATATGCAGCAATATAAATACCCTAAATAAACAAACAGTTTGTTCAACCTGAATTGATCTGTGGTTATCAAATCTTATTGAAAACTCAGCCATGGTGCTTAGATCAATAAAGACAGACCAACCGACAAAATCTGATTTATCATATTTTTTTTAAAGAAACTTCCTGATGTGAGCATTTTTCCAGAGTTGTTTCATTTTGGCTAAAATTGGCCAGTATCACATGGGTCAAAAATATTTGTCCTTAAAATATAAATTAATTATATTATGGTGAAGGTGTGCCCTTCCAGGAATTGAACTCCAGTTCGCATCCATCCTGGCTAGCCAAGTCAATGACAAGGAATGGCAGGAGAAGTAATGTATCTTGATTTCAGCAAAGAATCTAACAAACCGTAATGAACTGATTAGTGAGCTAGTGCAGGCTAAGTGTAAGCTAAATGACATGACAGTTAAGTGGATACATCACTACTTCAAACATCATACTACCTGGGGTTCTCATCAGCTGTGCAGTTGAAATATCAAGTGGGCTACACTTGTTCCTGCACTCTACAGCATTTTATTATTTGGATGAAGAGGAGGAAGGAATGCTTATTAGATTTATGGAATAGCAGCTGATGCTTTAGAAGGCAGAAATAAAATTCAAATAAAACTTTGTAGAAGCAAGATAGACATCTGATAGAAACAAGAATGCAAGTTTCGTCACTTAGAAAATGGGACATAGATGCAGAACAGAATGCAGGGCATCTGGCTTAACAGATAATCAGAGTTGGAAGGGACCTTGTAGGTCATCTAGTCCAACCCCCCGCCCAAGTGGGAGACCCTACACCATTTCTTACAGATGGCAGTCCATTGAAAGTCTCAAGTGATGGTGCTCCCACAACTTCCAAGGGCAAGCTGTTCCATTGGTTGATTGTTCTCACTGTCAGAAAGTTTCTCCTTGTTTCCAGGTTAAATCTCTCCTTGTTCAGTTTCCATCCATTAGTCCTTGTCTGGCCTACAGGCACTTTAGAAAATAGCTTGACTTCTTCCTCTCTGTGGCAGCCCCTCAAATATTGGAAGACTGCTATCATGTCTCCCCTGGTCCTTCTCTTTACTAGACTAGCCAAGCCCAGTTTGGCTAGTCTAGTAAAGGGCTTAGCTATTTTAATTTTGAAATATTTGAAATCTGTAGTAGTAATTGAGTGCAAACTGAGTATGAAACAGCTACAAGATGTAGCTACATAAAGACAAATGAGGTTTTAAGATACATCAATAGAACCATAATTTCTACATCATAGTTTCAACTTTATCCTATACTGGTCAGTTCCTACCCCTGGAGTATTCTCTGTAGTTCTGGCACCACACTTTAGGGATTTAGACAAACTGGGGAAAAGGTTAAGGGAACAACTGTGAAGATTATCAGGACACTAGGAAAGCAGTCCAGGAAAAAGAGATTAAAAGGTCTGAATAGTCTGGGGTCAGAACATACAATACCGGTTTTCCATTTTCTGACAAGATGTTGCACACATTATGGCCTATTCTTCTACACTTCAGAGTGCAAAGCATAGAATAATAGTTTTAAATGACTTCTGACAGTAGCAGTAACCTTTAGCAGTGGTGCCAGTTATTCTGAGAGTGATGAGTCTCCTTCCTTGGATGTATTCATCTGGCAGAGATGCTTGAATTTGGGTTTCTGAACTGAGCAGAAGATTGGACTCGGGCCTAAATGGCCCTTTCCAAATTGATGATTTTCTGAGATGCAGTCTGGAAGGATTCCACATTTTTCTTACCTGTATTATATAAAGTGGCTTTTAAATGCTGTGCTTAATTTTCTAGGACATTTAGAAAGGCTGTTTTATTTATTCTTCTGCCAAAAGTAGTTTTTAGTAAGTAACATTGAATTGTCACATATTTTTTACTATTTGGGTTGTCCTGCAGGATGAAGTGGCACATACTCTGACAGAAAACCGGGTTTTGCAGAATTCTAGGCATCCATTTTTAACAGTAAGCATTCTTTCTGTAATTTTCTTAAAGTCTCTTATGAATGAGAAAAGTTAGTTACCTCTGTGTTTGTTCTCACTAATAAAAGCAGATTTCAGAGGCAAATCGGATTGAATATATGATAAGCAAACCTAATCCAGTTTATGAAATACAACTTAGAGTCCATTTGTGAGCAAATAGTGCTTTATAATGCCAATTGTAAGGGAAAGGACGTCACTCAACGTGCATGCACGGATAATTTTTTTTTTCATCTAAAGAGGTACAGATGGGAACTTGGTGGTTCTAGAACCTAGAAAATGTTAGATAAAGCTTTTAGTGCCTGCTCATCAGGATGATTGAATAGTATTTCTAGTATTTCACAGGCAATTTATTTTTAGTACAGCCTTGGAAATAATCTTATAAAATATGTGACCTGCCAAAAGTTTAGAACATAACATAAGCAGTGCCCTGGTGGGTTGGACCTGTGATCCATCGAGTCCAGCGATTCTGCTCTCACAGTGGCAAACCCAACTGCACAAAGAAGCCCATATTTCTCCCAGCCGATGGCCTTCAGAGGGAGACAACCAGCCATCAAGTCTAATAGCCATTGGCCCCTATGACTTTCATGAATGAGTCCAACCCTTTTTGAATCCAGACAAGTTCGGTAGGCAGCATCGTATCTTGTAATCTTCATCCTCTTTCAGGCATGCAATTCCTTACGCACACATTTGCTTTCCAGCCTTCTGCGGAAAATAGCAGGATGCTCGCAATCAACCCAAATATCATGTAAGCAATTTTTCAGAGATACCAACATTTCTCTAGTGGTTATTTATTTAGAAACACACTTCTACTAGGGTATTCTAAAACATGTTTGTTTGTTTTTTAATCAATTTTTGATTGAGGATAGTCTACTTTGAAAAAAGTCATCTTCTGCCTGTCCTTTTTCATTTCAAAAGTCCTTAATTCCTCACCGTTCTCTCCAGGTCTGAGAGTTAATCTTGTAGTTGTGCTTGATCACCTGGCAAGGAGAATTCTGGGAGTTGAAGTCCACAAGTCTTAAAGTTGCCAAGTTTGGGGACCCCTGCCCTAGGCATTTGAATCATCTCCTCTTTAGTTTTCTTCCAAACACCAGCGAAAACATGATTCTTCAGGAGTGCGTTTGAATCTAAAAAGTTTGTTATTACTCCTGCATAATTGCACATCAGATTAATATATGTATTTATCTTAGTTTGGTTTGAATCTTGTGTTCTATTACTTCAGCAAGTCATTGAGAGCAAATAGGAATTGAGAAGCACAGAAAGCAAAGAAAATAGATAAGTGAAAAGTTTGGATAAGCGGTGCTTTTGACTTTCTTAACTTTTGTAACATAAAGTCCTTTTATCCTACTTTCATTAAGAGAACCAGGTGATTCATGATCAGCTAATGGATCTTCAGCAAGACTTGCCAGAGCTTTGGGGGGGCGGGAGGGGGGGCAATTCTTGTTTTGGATCCAGAAAATGGTGTCTTATACAATCCATTATTATTTATGGAGGTATTTATTTTTATCTTAGGCCAATGTTGTGACTCCTTCTCTGGCTCTGAAACCCCAGCTGTAATTCCTGGGCTGCAGCCCAAGCAAAACGAAATAGAGAGCATGTCAAACCAAGCTGGCACTCCTTGCGCTGCAAAAATCTGCATGATGAGTGGAAGCATCACCGCTTGGTGGCTTCCCATTGAGAAGCAATGCATTTCTGGTTGCTGGGAGCAAAACATTAGTGGAAGGGAAAACACTTGCTAGATGGAGTTTTAGATCAGATGCAGCAGAGCTCTTTCATTTGTTATTTATTTGCTCAATTTATATAACTTCCAGTCTCACACACATAACTCTGAGCGACTCACCGCTCATAGAAAAATACAAAAAATTCAGAATCAGACAACAAAAAACATGAAAAGCACATTAATATTAATTTTAAAAATTCAATAACGTCTGTATAAATGTGAATAAATAAGTAAAAATTATAGTTAGGATGACTTCTTAGTGCACAATTTTGGAAACAGAACTCGGCATAATCTTCAGTATCGACCTTCTCTGTAAAATACTCCAGCATCTTTCTTCTATCTATCTTATCTTCACTTCTTGAACTTAGCTGAATGTCGTTACTGAATTGTAAGAAATGTCCAAGCTAAAGAATGTCTATTTTGTTTTTCATTTATTATACACTTTACTTTTATTACAACTGCTACCATCATTCCATTATTCAATAATATGCATGTAACAATCATCAGAGGGAAAAATTAAATTAGGGAGAATATTGAACAGTATTGAATATTATTAAAGTTGTTTCATTCCAATATAAACAATAATCATATTCTGTTGCGTTGCAAACTCTTCCACAAATTTTTCTATCTCAGTTTGGCATTGTATTGCATTGTATTGTTCAGTACGGTATAAAAGACTGTGCCATGGTGGAATATGCATAAAAAGCAAGGGAAAAGAAAGAGGAAATTTGCAATTAAAACAAGAATAGTGTATACTAAAACTATTCGCTTTAGAAAGGAGCAGGGGTTCATTCAGTAGAGAGGGGATTCATCATTTCCTGTTACAGCAGATGTGATCTGTGAAGTTTCAGGGCACAGGTCCAACTCCAGTAATCTCTTGGTTGGTTATAAAGCATAACAGATGATGTAAAATTAAGATTTTTGTCTACTTTTTTAATAGGCGTTGAAATATTCCTTTCAGACGCATGACCGTTTGTGTTTTGTTATGGAATATGCTAATGGAGGGGAGGTAAGGATCATATTCCTCATAATCAAATGCTGTTAAGTGATGTCATTTTAATGATTGGAAAACTTCTCAGTTTGTCTATTAACTTAAAAAAAAAGCTTGCAAAGATCGGGCCTTTGATGAATGACAGAGCAGAAGCTTTGTATGTGTAAGGAGGCAATTTTACTCCTTGGTGTTTCTGTCTTGAATTTATGTATTTAATACCCTGTCTTTATTATTTTGATAAATAACTCATGGTGTTGAACGTATCTAGCACTCATTTTTCCTCCTGATTTCTTGAAGTGGTTGTTCTCAAAGAGAGTGACTGGCCCAAAGTTACTCAGATGGCTTTCATGCCTAATACAGGACTAGAACTCACAGTCTCCCAGATTCTAACCTGGGGGCCTTAATCACTAGACTAAACACACTATTATAACGCATAGAACAGTGCTAAAAAAAAAATCACTTAAAGACCTAACAAAACCAGAAGGAAATATGCCAAGTGGAAACATGAAATAAGTAATGCATGTGAATTATTTTCACTGACTTCCCTTTATAGACATTGCATAAATTTCTTTTCATATGTAATAACTTGTCTTCCCAGCTATTTTTCCATCTATCACGAGAACGTGTTTTTTCTGAAGATCGTGCTCGGTTCTACGGAGCTGAAATTGTATCAGCGTTGGACTACCTACATTCGGAGAAAAATGTGGTATATAGAGACTTAAAGGTATGTAGATTGGAGGTGGTGTGGTACTAAATCTGTTTAAAAAATATTAGTTTGGTCAATGATTCTCTGCATAAGGCAGGGCTCCTCTCCTCACATGTCAAAAATCCTATATAGTTCTAGAAATACCTCTTTAGTATATTCTCTTTCAGTTTGTATTGAAAACCAATAAAAAATCAACATTTAAATACATTTGCAGAATACAGAATAACAGAATTGGAATGAATCTTGGAGGTCTTTTTTATACAATACAGTCTCAGTACAAAACCAACATTTTAAAGAAGCTAAATTGAAAATCGGAATAAATCACAATAAAAGAAATCAAAGCTCTCTGAACTTTTAAATTTGGCTTCATCAGTTGATTATATTGGATGACTTATTGATCACATTTCTAATATCGCTTGCAGCTCCTCCCCTTTTAAAAAGTTCTGATCCACTTGAAGCCTGATAAATGCAGGTAAAAACTGATAGGAGTGGCATTTATCTATTCAAAACTCTGAAGCTGTGGTTAGTCTGAATAGGCAGCCATGGGTAAAGGTAAAGCTCCTTTGAGTTGAGCCCGATGCCTGATGATTAAATGAAAGCATTGATAAAAGGTGTTGTTGCTAGTACAGAGATGATTGGCCATTGGGTTCTTCTCTATATATTTTTTCTTTAATTTCCCAAGCTAGTCTGCAGCTCAAGAATTCCCTGGAGATCTCCCAATCCAATACTAACTTGAGATTCTTCTAGGATACATTGTCATTTTTTTAATATTTATAAAGCTCAGTATAACCATCATGTTCTGCATGTTGGTCAGTTGCAGAGCACTTACACTTTTTAACAATGTATTAAATTGGATTAGGACTTAGAGGAAACTGAAGTAAGTGAAAGTGATTGGAGGGACCAATAATCTCAGTCTGAGTGCTTAGCTACCATTTAGTTAATTTTGTGGACCCCCCAAAAAAGCTGTTCCTTTTTGCTAAACTACAGATTCAATCTGCCTAGTTGAACCCACAGAAGTTAAGCCACAGAATATTAGAGAAGAAATTGCCCCAAAACTTCACTTAAAGTAAGCTGAAGATTTTGATGGCCTGAACTTTCAAGGTTTTTAAACTTCTCATGGTTATAGAGTAAATTGTAATACTTATTGAGTTTTAACATGTTATTTTATTTTCCATTTGTTATATAGATGGCTCAGATATTTGCAGCAATATCAAAGTCCTATTCATATGTTCCCAGCTAATGAGATCATAGTAATTTTAAGAAAATATTCCCTAGTCTACTCTAAAGTAAATGTTATCGTGTTTAAGTGATATCAAAGTAAACATATAATTTAAGTAAATACTTTTAAATTATTTTAATTGGCTCTTAAGTGTTTAAAGTATTTTTATTTGTTATTTATACATGTTTGCTATCTCTTATGTACCACCAAATATTCACACTATTTGGCAGTTTGTTTAATGTTTTATTATACTAGCTATTCAATTGTAATTTTTTTTGTATAAATTGTTTTATAAAAAGACAGTATAGAAGTAATGTATATAAAAGTCAAAATAGCATGCATTATCTTTCAAAAAAATAAGCCCTCCATATCTGAAAGGAAAAAGGAATCCTCTTCTAAATTTATGCAAGGCTGGTAACATATATAATCATTATTATTTTTTATTAAATTTTGGTGCTGCCTGACTCCCAGTGACGTTGGACAGTTAGAGTTAGGGCAGTTGTATTCTTCTAAAGATATTTTTTCCATGACTGTTTCCCAATGGATCAATACTTTATAAAACACTATTTCCTAGAATATATGCCTGGGGTACTCATATAAGTGAGATAGTGGAAATTATTTGAGATTTCATTCCACTCCCACTCCCCACATGTACAGAATCGTGTAATTGGAATACTTGTCCCTCCATGCTATTTCCCTTATCATTCTCTCTGTTTTCTCCCCATCTTAAATAACTGCTATTTGCATGAGGATTTGTTTATTCTGGGAGAAAAAAAAACAGGAAAGGGTTACTCTCCAATCTCCATTATTCATCATTCTGAAAGAAATAATACAGTCCTGATTTTCTGTTTCAGCAGCTTTGAGGTTAAGATTGGATGTAAGCATGGATAGTCGATGCTTTGGGCAAATAGTCCTCTATGGTATAATCCAGAAAATTATTCATCATTCTGAAAGAAATAATACAGTCTTGATTCTCTGTTTCAGCAGCTTTGAGGTTAAGATTGGATGTAAGCATGGATAGTCGATGTTTTGGGCAAATAGTCCTCTATAGTATAATCCAGAAAATTCTCCATCCAATCTTAATTTCTTGACAGATTTATACAACAGTAGATCACTATTCTTCTAATTTCCAAATCCCATATCTGCAACATTTATTTATTTAAAACATTTATATATCCTCCCATCTTATAAAAAGCTCTGGGTGGCTACCAATCAAAAATATAGGATCAAGCAAGTATGGAGATAATATTAGTTTTCATGATAAGATCATCATAAATCTGATATCTTCAGATGTTTGGGAATTGCAATTCCCAGAATCCCCTAAAACACCTAGAGAATATTTGTTGAAAAACACTGCCATAATGTTATCATAGTAATGTTTAGAATTGTTTAAAAGAGCCAGGTAAGCTAGAGGAGCAGTATAGAAGTGTGAAAGATAAATAAAATACTGTGGAGAGATTATAATTTACACCAAATATCCAACCCAACTTCTGGTTACCAAATTTTTGGACAGCTAATAAAAGCATGAGTTTCCAGAAGACATTGGGAATGGGTAAGGCTGTGAGAATCAGTTTGTTAAGGCATCAGGCTACAAACTTGGAGACCAGGAGTTCTAATCTAATCCCATTTTAAGCATAAAGCCAGCTGGGTGACCTTGAGCCAGTCACTCTCTTTCAGCCCTAGGAAACAGGCAATGGCAAACAACTTCTGAAATTTTGCCAAGAAAACTTCAGGGACTTATCCAGGCAGTCATCAGGAGTCAACCCCAACTCAAAGGCTCACACACACACACGCACGCACACACATTGGACTGATAAGTGATGGTCATATTTATGGATTTTGGTTTTCATTTTCTGATACTAATATGGAAGGCTGCTCAGAATAATTGGAAATGGAGGGACATAAGCATTGCAGTAATAAATACTTAAAGTGTAAGATTTGTAGCAGTTCTTTCAAAAAAACATCATTTTAGGATACTTTTACAATCATATTAAAGATTCTTTTACAAATATGTTGAAGATTCTCAGTACTTATTTAGATGATTTTGTGTCTAACTTTTTATATATTTTTATTTAAGTTGGAAAACTTGATGCTGGATAAAGATGGACACATAAAAATAACAGACTTTGGGTTATGTAAAGAAGGGATCAAGGATGGAGCAACAATGAAGACTTTCTGTGGCACACCAGAATACCTTGCCCCAGAGGTACCTTTCATATTATATTCATATTATATCACAAGAGGTTTTTCTTTGTCAAAAATAGATGCTAAGATATTTCCCAAAATATTACTGTATAAAAGTCAAGTAAGTGTTGTGAATGTTCATGAATTCTGGTTTCTATGTTGTCTTGACACACTAGGGGCTGGAGTTAACTCTGCTAGAGTATCTTTTTTATTGAAAGCCACTTCACTTTTCTGGATGAGAGAGAACAAGCTGAAATTGAACCCAAGCAAGAGATCTCTGTCTGCTCCAAAATTATCTCTAGATGGAAAACTACTATCCCTGAAGGAGCAGGTCCATGACTTGGGGTCTTTGTGGATTTGCATCTTCTTCTCAATAATAAGGATATGCCATGGCCTGGGACCTTGGCCCAGCTTTGGCTGGTGTACCAGTAGCATCCCTATCAGGAGAACAAAAACTTTGCAGTATCTCATGCTCTTATCACAGCTTGTTCGAACTGTATCATGGGGGTATTTTTCAGAACTACTTAGAAGCTCCTGAACCAGTGGTCCAGAATACAGTGGTCCATGGTTCACTAACACCTGGTGTTGGGTGCACATTACACCTGCTCTGGTCACCAAGAAGCTTCTGGATGCAATGCGAAATGTTGGTTTTAACTATGAAGCTCTCAGTAGCTTGGCATTAAGTTCCTGTCAGGGCTGCATTCTCTAATAAAATTGGCACTTCCGTGATCTTTTCATAAGAAGGGGCTTATGGTTCCCATTCCCAAGAGCTGAAAGTCAGAAGGCTTCGCATCTTAGTTAATAGCACCAGCCCCTTGGAACAGTTTCCATTTGAAATTTGATTGGCTCTCTTCCTATGCACCTTCTGCAACCAACTTATCTTTAACTTTTTATATATGTTTATGTGAATTGCTGAGAGTCCTTATAGTGTGATTATAAATATAATAATCACTTTGAAATGCACAAAACAGATTTTGCTTTTCTTACACAGTCTTTATACTGTTTTGCATCTGAGAAAATACAAAATTGGGGAGTGGGTTAAAAGCAGAGAAAGCATCCTTTCTCTGATTATCTTGGGTTGCCTTAATGAGCATAGTTTGATATGTCTCAGTCTTAATCTGATTTGAAATTTGTTGCTTAGACATGTAGATGAACGCTAAATGGAAGCTATTGAGAATTCAGTTTGGCTTTGCTGAATTTGTATTGCCCAAATCTTGTGAACTAGTAGAGAAAGTTTGGTATAGCAGTTAGGGTGCTGTCCTAGAAACCAGGAGACCCTGAGCTCTACTCCAATTTAGGCATGAAAGCCAGCTGAGTGACTTCAGACAGTCTCTCTCTCTCTCTCACAGTCCAATCCACTTCACAGGGTTGTTGTTGTGAAGAAAATAGAATACAGGAGTATTAGGTATGTTTGCCATTCTTGAGTTGAATGAATAAATGAGAATATATAGGTTTATAATTGCAGCAGGATCAAATTGTGAAAATGCCACATTAATGGTCTTCAAATGATTAATCTATTGTTTTTGCACTTCAGTAACATTAAGATGTGTGGACTGCAACTCCTACAATTCCTCAGGTTACATGCTCTGAAAGCATGAAGTCTACACATCTTAAAGTTGCTAAAGTGGAGAAACTCTGGTCTAGTCTACTTTTAGTAATTTCCAGGAATCAAATGAGTCCTTTTTTTGAGATTCATAGACTATCATATCGCAAGAGCCAGGGATGACACAAAGGTATAAGAACAATAAAAACCATCACCTCCCTAGCAGTTTGCACAATATATTATTATGGCAATGAATTACAGCAGCAAAATTAACTTTCCATCATGAGTTCAAACCAAGTGTTTGTGCTTTTTCTCCTTGTGACTCCAGAAGTTATGCTTATACACACACCATGTGGTGTATATCTTAAGCAAGCTGTACAGTCTTAACTCAAATTATTTATGTAGTACATTTTTATCCCATCCTTCTTTCCAGGCAAACATGACATTGTACGTGTCTTTTTTTCTGTACTCATTTGGTCCTCACAGTAACCCTGCACACACGATTGAGATTGTTTCTAGGTTTCTCTTGGGGAAGTTGGTCTCTCCAAATCCAGTTCCGTTTTCCTCCAGCTCTTGTCTTCCATAGTCCCCACAACTGTCTGTGCTGAAATAAGGGTGACAAGAATTACAGTCCAGCATATCTGGGGGGAAAACAGATTCAGAGAAAAGCTACTTGATTTCAGTCCAAAGGTCCTTCCAACTTTGCAAGATGGAGCTAATAATATGGCCTATTTACATGAATGTAGAAACTGTTACCTGGTTAATGTAGGGAGCATGTTTGAATTTTCAAAGAATACTAAATAACTTGGGTTTGGGAACAATATCTCATTTTGGGGGTCATGTTCGACTTCTGTTAGACTTTAGATATCGTGTCAGTGAGTTGTCTTTCAAACTAGCCGATGAGCATGTATAAGTAAATGTTCCACACCAATGAAGTCACTTAACCTTTTTTAAAAAGTGGAAAGGGAGGCTTGCCTTGTTGTCATCTGTTTGTAATTGGAACCTGGCCTCCGAACTTGTTTGTACAGTTGCTGCATAGTTGTTTTAGGGTCATGCTGGAATTTGGTAGATAGAAGGCTGTGGCTGTACCATGTCAGCTTTGATGTGTTAGATGTATTGGTCACCAAGGTGTTTACAGCTGTTGTGCCTCCTCTTGTAAATTCCAACCATGCAGCTGTTCAGCATTGTTGGCTTCCAACTTGACCAGTCAGTTATTTTAAGTAAAACGACCTTTTTTTTTTTTATCCTATCCTTATTTATTCCTCCAACTAAAAAAGCATGAAAGGGAATTAATATTCCTACTACCATATGTAGATTTTTTTCCCTTTTGATTTGTGTTCCAAACACTGACAAGCTTAAAATAGCATCTTGATGTAGAACATGTTTTTGCTTTGTAAATCTTAGGTTCTCAGTACTTATGAGAACTCTTCCCGACATAGAAGCTGATGACAGTTGTCCAGCTTGACTACTTGAATCCACTGCAAGGGAGCATTACTCAAAGAAGATCTGGCTTTCCATATTGAAGACATTTACCATTTTTATTAAAAACAAATACCACCAATACAATTTGAACAAATAAAAACATTAAAACCTACTTTCCACTTAGGAGGCTCAACAAAATAGTTCTGCATGTTCAAATCTCCTTTACTTGGCAGGATCCAGTTATACTAAACATGAAGTCAGTAAGAAGTTAAAAACATACTGTTGAGGATAGTATTTGGGGTTGCTCTTGGTCATTCAGGTTCCTCTAGATTTAGAAGCAGTACTAGACTACAGTGTGTAGAGAGTGTAGATAATACAAGATGTCTATTATGTGTCTTCATGATATCTCCTATAGGACCAGTGCAGGAAATTCACTTTTAATTCACTTTTAAACTGCATTTCCTTGCGATGGATCCCCATATCGATGTATAAGAGAGTTTCTTGGCTTCTAGCTACTGCTGCTGATCATTGAAATAAATTATGTAGCTGTTTGCTTAGTATTTAGGATAGTTCATTTTGGTGGATGTATGCCTTTTTAACAAATTGTTAAATATTTGCATTTTAAAAGAAACTGAGGAAGAACATCTCTTGTTTCAAAAATGATCCCAGAAAATCACGTAGACCAGAGGTCCCCAAACTTGGCAACTTTAAGACTTGTGGACTTCAACTTCCAGAATTCTCCAGCAAGCATAGCATAGCTGGCTAGAGAATTCTGGGAGTTGAAGTCCACAAGTCTTAAAGTTGCCAAGTTTGGAGACCCCTGATGTAGACCATTCCAAGAATATTTGAGAGAAATGCAATTTTATAAACACCTGTTAAGAGGCCTTGTAAAATGCATCCAGTCTTATAAAAACAAACAAGACGGGAGGGAGGAGTAAGCAGCAAAAAAAAAAAAAAGTGGGAGGGGGGGCGCGATATAGTGCTGTGTCTCCTGCACTAGCAAAATCCAGCCCTGCTTTGAGTTCTGTCCAGGGAGACGAAATGTCCTCTCTGGGAAGAGTGCAACTGGTTGAGCAGGGGTCAACTGGCATGCTGCACAATCCCACATGAGGAGTGTGACACCCCTCCTCCCTGTTCCCGGATTGCTCATAGAGGCTGATGAGCCTGGCTCCTGGAATCCTAGCAGATGAAGCAGCTGTGTTGGGCTTCTACATATATGGGGCAGCTGCAGAGCCAGCTGTCGCTTGGTGTGAATCATACAGCAGAAGATGCTGTAAATAGACCTGCGTGGGGTAATCCAATACCTGGCAGCCTTTGGTTTTTCGCTGCAGGCCACCTAGGTTCCAATCCCCCCCCCCCCCCCAAAGCAAAGTAGCAAACAGTTACCAGGCACTAATAAGTAGAGAAAAGAATAAACTTCTATGTTGTTCTATCCCTGCTCTTGATGCTTTCAATTTCTTATGTTTGAGATCTTCATTACTACCATGTTGTTTGAGTTGTATGCTTATGTTGTTAAATATGAATGTTTCTTTGCAAGTTAGGCAGCAGCCAACAAACCGTTAGAAACTGATCAGAAGTTGCAGAACTCCAATTTGTATTGTGCCTGAGCAGCAGAAATTGTAGGAGATGGAAGTTCAACTATTTTTCATGTGGGGGTGTGGGGGTGTCACACCTTTTTAACCCTTGAAATAACAAGTCCGTTGCAGAGGTCTTACAGCAGACTCTCCCCAATTTGGCGCCTCCAAATTGCAATATCCATCATTCATAATCCGCACAATCAGTGTTGTTCTTTGGAAATGATGTGTAGTCCAAACTTCTGAAGGACATTTTTTTTAAAGAGGAAGGTATGTAGCTTTCCAAGAGGCTAGGGCATCTTAGACAATATAACTGGCTAAGGACGATGTGAGATGTATTTACTTCATTATGCCTGAAGATGGCGATTCGGTAGAATTTCCTTTCAAGTTGTCAACTTGTTAAGAGGAAACAATTCCATTTTCCTTTGTTTTGTGAAAAGCTTGCCATTGATCTAGAACTCTTGCCATTGTCTACAGGTGCTGGAGGATAATGACTATGGCCGTGCAGTGGATTGGTGGGGCTTAGGAGTTGTCATGTATGAAATGATGTGTGGACGTCTTCCCTTCTATAATCAGGACCACGAGAAACTCTTTGAGCTCATCCTAATGGAAGAGATTAGGTTTCCACGTACGTTGTCACCCGAAGCAAAGTCTCTTCTGTCAGGTTTGCTGAAGAAGGATCCAAAGCAAAGGTGAAGGTTTAATGCATTTGATCTGAATGCTTCCCAGATTCTTGAATGACCAGTAAGGTGTTTTCTGTATGTTTTGCATTATTTGATTCATTGTGATTTTGATTTTTCAGTATATCCAGGTCTGTAATGTGTGTTCTTCGATATCATTTCGCTGTTTTATGTCCCATGATAAAGTTTCAAACACATAGTCTCCACATACTCTCTACACAGAGAGAGAGGAGGGGGAGAGAGGGAGTGTGTGTGTATACTGGGTCATCCCTTAAGAGAAAGGTAGTGCAATTTGATATAATTAGGATAAACATTAAATTTTAGGCTGACCATATTTATTTTTACCCCAATGTTGGATGGTCCCACGAACAAGTGGTGGGATTCAATTTTTTTGACTACTGGCTCTGTGGGCGTGGCTTGGTGGGCATGGCAGGGAAGGATACTATAAAATCTCCAGTCAGAGGTGGTATTGGCTGGTTTTCTGAACTACTCAAAATGTCCGCTACCGGTTCTCCAGAACTGGTCAGTACCTGCTGAATACCACCTCTTCTGCCATGAACATCTTAAGAAGAGCATATATCATAAATAGAAAAATAATTATAGTGGCAAGCAAGCTTTAAGAATAAACTTAACATACACAAAATGACCATGGGTAGGCAAAAAAACAGCAGGAGCAGAAGTAACTTCTGACTTTCTTCCAATTTCCCCCAATGACTTTGCTTGTGGATGCTGACAGGAATCATGGTCAGCTGACATTGCAGTGGCCATAACTTTACAAATAAAACTGACCTGAATATCGTGGGAATTTCAATTTCGTAGGAATAAGATTTTTACACATCCTTTTTAGCAGATTCTGGGTACCGTGATTCAGAAAGCGTTGCAGAATAATGCAACGTTTGGGCTAACTTGTGGGTTGAAATAGATAGACACCACGAGAGTTTTAGCAGTGTATCCATAGATGCATACATATTTGAGAAACTCTATTGTATGTGGGGAAATAGAAACTCTTAGAGCAAATGAAGATGCTTTTGCCCATAAAATCACATCTGTATTCCATGTTTCATTTCAAATACAATGCTTGCCTTTGTTTCAGCGCTGTTTCTTAATTATGTCTGTTACATAGCTGCCTTTTATAGAAACAGTTGTTGTGAGTACTCTTCATTATCCCTGGAGAATAAACAGTAAAGGATGTCTCAGGTCTCTCTCTTCTTGATATAGAACAAAATCTTCCATAGCTTGAGGGGTGATCGTAGGCCATAGTGAGTGGGACAGCAAGGCAGTGATGTGGCAAGAGTGGTTTTTCAAAAGCCTGATAATCTGTGGGTAGATGGTTGAGTGTTTTGGTCAAGGTTACATGGCTTTATTGTGGTTTGCTTTAAATTTTAGTAGCATGTGTTCAACACTTCCAGGAAGCTCCTAAAAAGTTGTTTTTTGTTTTTTTTTAAAAAAAGGCTTGTTGGAATTTGCATTTCTTCATTATTTCTTAGCACAGTTGTACTTTTATTGTGAATGAAAATATGCCGTTAGAAACACTTCAGAGCAAATGAATTTAAAATAAATGCACTGTACTAATGTTGGTGATTTCCTCCCCCCCCCCCCCCCCCCAACAGGTTAGGTGGCGGACCAGATGATGCAAAGGAGATTATGCAGCACAAATTTTTTGCTGGCATTGTTTGGCAAGATGTATATGAAAAAAAGGTATTTACAGTTTTTAAGGTGGGATTTTTTAGATTGTGTTAAAAGACTTTAAAATTCTGTGTCAGCTAAAATGCTGCAGTTTGGGAAGATGGTTATCCTCTCATTCCTAATTTTCCCCCCACCATTTTTAAAAAATTCTCTTACACATAAAACCTAAACTTTTCGTTGCATCTTAAAATTTTATATACCTAAAATGACATGGTGCAGATTAAGTAATCTTAGATATCATCCAAAGTACAGGTATGCACTTTGTATATCTGTACATACTGCAGAATTGATTGATTTTTTTTTTAAGTGGGTTTTGTGCCACTTTAGTGAACAAAAAGAATTTAAGCAGCTTACAAAACTGTATACAATAAACAGTCATTTTCCTTCTGTGCTTCTTTCAGCCCTTCTTCTATTGCAGTCTTTTTTTTTTAATTTTCCTGAATGCAGCTTAGTTTGCAAAAGGCTCTCCATCAACAAGTTAGAATTGCAAGGTCCCAACCTGCCCCCTGTTTTTGCAAATGTTGCATTGCTAGAGTTGTTCTGTCCCCAGAAGTCCAGCCTTCTTCTCTCTTTCTGCACAACTAATATCCCTTGCTAGAGTAGCTCTCTGCTCCCCCTTAGTGGCACTGCACATAAATGATCCTAGCTACTGCATTGAATTGCACCAACTTTTTGCTGATTGAGATGGACTTTTTGGCTCTGGTACTGAAGGCTTTGATGCAGGGCCCTTGAAGCTGATTGTTTCATTAATCTTTTATTGAATGTTGAGGTCAGCATGAACACTTCCAAGCATATTGTCATTCAGGTTAATTAAAAGAGCCTAATGCATTAAGATGAAAAAGATGTTTGTAGTTAAATTTACCAGTACTTGGCAACGTGCTTCCAATTTTCTCCTTTTAAGTTCATAAACTTGCTCTGAGGTTTGCTTTCTTTTCTCCACTATTCCCTCCATTCTGTCACTGGAACTTAAAAGAGAAAATTGAAGAAGAAGAAGAAGAAAGAGCTAGCCATGCTGTCTGATTAGCATGCATTTCAGTTAATGCCGCAAGACATCTTTAAAAAGCTCAGCTTTTTTGTGGTTTGGAAATTATATATATATATATAAATAAAATAGACTCTCATCTTAACTATATTTCCTCCCAAGTATCTAAATGATATCATTAATCATACTGCTGCTAGGGCTATTTTGGGCTGTCATTTCCTCCTCAATATTTGGATTTCCCTGCCAGTTTAAACCCCCAAATATTAGTCGTATTATGTATATAAAAGACTCATTTTCCTTAACAGGCATTGTTCACCTGCCTTGTGGTTAATGTATTCTTTGTATTGAAATCAAGGTTTTAATGATCATCTCTTCAGTTTGCTGATAACTTACTATGAATATAGATTCTACATCTCCAGTTCTCCATGGGATAATATATCCAGCATTTTTATAAAGACAAAAAGTATTGGAGATGGTTCAAGATAAAAAAAAAACATATCCACTGAAAAACATCAAAAGAAAAAAATAATTTTTTGCTTTGTAAAGCTAATAGTATTCTTATGTTACCTTTTTTATGTTCTGCTGCCTCTAAATCTTGTTTGTAACTTGGTCTTCAAGATAGAAACAAGTAGAACAAGTATAGAATAACTATATGGAAGGGACCTTGGAGATCATAATATATTTAGATTTCAGCAAGGCATTCGATAAAATAGACCACAACCTACTTTTTAGTAAGCTAGAAAAAAGTGGAATAGATAGCACCACCACTAGATGGACTCGCAACTGGCTGGCAAACCGTACTCAACGAGTAGTCCTTAATGGGTCTAAGTCTACATGAAGGGAAGTAAGCAGTGGGGTGCCACAAAGTTCCGTCTTAGGCCCAGTACTCTTCAATATCTTCATTAACAACTTAGATGAGGGAATAGAAGGGGAACTTACCAAATTTGCAGATGATACTAAGCTGGCAGGAATAGCTAACACCCAAGAAGATAGGCTCAAGATCCAGATGGATCTTGACAAACTAGAACAGTGGCCCCCAACCTTTTTTGTGCCACGACCCGGTACCGACATCACAAAATGATCCACGGTCCGGTACTGGAATCAGCACGCATGACAAGGCAAGGCGAGCCGAGCGACCGGCCAGCCAGCCTTCCCCTGCTTCTCCCCGCCACCTTCAACTCCTCCTTTGTACCTTTGTTGATGGGCTTTGCTTCGGGACGGCTTCGGGATGGTCGCTCGCTCGCCTTGCCTTTGGGTGCTAAAAGAATCCTCGCACCTTAGTTTCATTCGAAGCCTCCCCTTCGATGAAACTAAGGCGCAAGGATTCCTTCAGGACCCAAACACCGCTTACCAACCAGAAAAGCTCACCCGGAAGCACTTTCTCGTCAAACAAGATGGTGGCGCCCAGCAAACCGGCAGCCCGGTAGGAAATGTTCCACGGACTGGTCCCGGTCCGTGGCCCGGTGGTTGGGGACCCCTGGACTAGAACACTGGGCCATATCTAACAAAATGAAATTCAATATAGAGAAAAGTAAAGTCCTACACTTAGGCAAGAAAAACCAAAAGTACACATATAGACTGGGTGAAACCAGGCTCAATAGCAGTAACTGTGAGAGGGATCTTGGAGTCTTAGTGGACAACCAGCTAAATATGAGCCAGCCGTGTGCAGCAGCTGCCAAAAAAGCTAATGCAATCCTAAGTTGTATTAACAGAGGGATACAGTCAAGATCAAGGGAAGTACTAATACCACTCTATAAAGCCTTAGAAAGACCACACCTAGAGTACTGCATCCAGTTTTGTTCACCACATTATAAAAAAGATGTTGAGACTCTAGAAAAAGTTCAGAGAAGAGCAACCAGGATGATTAGGGGACTGGAGGCTAAAAGATACAACGAATGGTTGCAGGAACTCAGCTTGGCTAGACTATTAAAGAGAAGGACCAGGGGAGACATGATAGCGGTCTTCCAATATTTGAGGGACTGCCACAGCGGGGAAGGGGTCAAGCTATTTTCTAAAGTGCCCGTAGGCCAGACAAGGAATAATGGATGGAAACTGAACAAGGAGAGATTTAACCTGGAGAAACTTTCTGACAGTGAGAACAATCAACCAATGGAACAGCTTGCCCTCGGAAGTTGTGGGAGCACCATCAGTTGAGACTTTCAAGAAGAGATTGGACTGCCATTTGTCAGAAATGGTGTAGGGTCTCCCGCTTGGACAGGGGGTTGGACTAGATGACCTGCAAGGTCCCTTCCAACTCTGATTATCTGTATCTATCTGTATCTTCTAGTCTAATCCCCTGCCTAGGCAAGAAACCTTATAGCATTTCAGACAAATGGTTATCCAATCTCTTCTTTAAAACTTCCAGTGTTGGAGCATTTACAATTTCTGGAGGCAAGTTGTTCCATTGGTTAATTGTTCTAACTGTCAGGAAATTTCTCCTTAATTCTAGATTGCTTCTCTCCTTAATTAGTTTCCACCCATTTTATGTTTGACTTCCCCTACATAATGCTTTTTTAAAAATTAAACTGTGGCTATTTCTAGTATTCTACAACAAAGTAGTTCAGGGCATCAGAGCAATTATTTGAAAAATAAATCAGCTGCAATACATACTATTCTTCTAGTTTGAAGCTTCTGAAAGAGCTAGCAATTCCCAAATTGCAGGGAATGGGGAATCTTACACTGGAGGATGATTGATTTTAATTTAAGAATGAAAGGCTACATTTGTTTATTTCCTTAACCTATCCTGCACCAATGAAACTGGACTCTTAAGTGTCCGCACCATTAAATGCTTGGGAGAAAAAAGACCATTTTGAAAAGTCTGGGCCTTTCCCCACTGCTGAATTAAAATGCTATCCACTGGATTCTTAACATTTGTTGTTCCCTGCCATCAAACAACACTGTCACTATTGCAACTGCTGTGACTCACTGAAGAAGGATGCTGGCTTTGCTGTTCTGTCTCTTACATCCCAGCTGGCAGGAATAAATCTGCCAGTCACGGCTCTTTAGAAGGCATGAGGCTGGTCTGGTTGCAGGACACTGTCATTCTAGGCTTCTTCTTTAGCTTCTTCTCCTCAACCCCATTCTATTATAACACAGGATGAGTAACGGGTTTTAAAAAATCCCAGCAGAGTCAAGTCATGGAAGGTGCTGAGTCACTGGGGTCTTGTTGCTCTCTCTTCCTTTCTTTTTTTATCGGCAAGTGACGCAGGCTTCAGATCCCTGTTTGCCATGTTTGAGAAGTAATAAGGGCAGGGTAGAGTAGTCCAGTCTCTGCACTTTGGCTCTTCCAGCCTGCTGTTAAACTGGTAAAGCCATAGAGTTAAAAGCACTACAGAGTTTCGGTATCCCGTTCTTTAGGAAAAAACACAGCACATTGACAGCCTACCCGATGCTGCCAGGGCATTTAACCCAGAAGTCGCCAAACTTGGCAACTTTAAGACTTGTGGACTTTAATTCCCAGAATTCTCCAGCCAGATATGCTGGCTGGAGAATTCTGGGAGTTGAAGTCCACAAGTCTTAAAGTTGTCAAGTTTGGGGACCCCCAATTTAACCCTTCAGCCTATCAGTTAAGAAAGTATTATCATCTTCTCAAATTCCTTGATTAAAGTTTACTTTATTCTAGTAAATCTGGTAAATGGATGAGTTAACATACTTCTGGCACAAAATTCAACAGCGTTTTTTTTTAAAGATAGAAAAATGGATATTGAACTAAAACAATGCAATGTTTAGGTTGTGTCTCTAAGACCTTAATTTGTGGAAGAAAGATGGTAACTGGCAGGCATAAAGGTCAAAAGAGATACTTGCAAAGGATGAGTGTGTGCCTCCTGGATATATACAATTTTATTTTATTTTTTTATCTGTCTTAAATACTTGGGACAATATTCTAAGTATCTTTTTTGCATAGTGGCAAAAAATAAAATGCCAAGATCTGCTTTTCAAAATAAAGCATTTCCCTTTTATATTTTTATAAGTGGCTTTTCATTTAATTACTTCATTCTCCTTTGTAAGAGGGTTATACTATTATTATTATACTTTTATTGATTAAACATGAAACTCAGTCAACTGAACATTTAAAAATGTATCAGAAATATTATTGATTGACACTGATGGTTGATACGGGTTCTGCTAGCATCCTAGGCATCAACCAAGTATCTTCTTAAAATGTATGTTGTTCCAAGTACCCCCTTTTTTGCTGTTTTCCTGGTGTTACTGAAGGAAGCTGTAATTCCTTCTTGTTGTTGTTGTTGTTGTTGTTGTTGTTGTTGTTGTTGTTGTTATTATTATTATTATTATTATATAACAATTTATTTGAAATTTAACTAAAAGCCAGAAAATAAGCTCAATTGGCTCAAGCATCAATGAGTTCATGTGATATGGATTAGAGATCTGAGTAGGCTTAATGCTGAAATAGGAGCATTCCCATTCCTATCCTACATTTTTAAAAAGAATATAAAATATTTTACTGCCAAATGTTTGTTATTTTGCTGCCAAATTTCAGCAACACAGACTCTGCTACCTGGGGAGGGCTGCTGAGCTTTCCCTATGCTAATAACTCAATTCCAGGTTTTATTTCTTTTTACAGCTGGTACCTCCATTTAAACCCCAGGTGACATCTGAAACAGATACACGCTATTTTGATGAAGAATTCACAGCACAGATGATCACTATCACACCCCCTGATCAAGGTAATACTACTTGAAAGTGCTTTGGTTGAACAACAGGACAACATGGCTCAACTGAAAGCTTAATAAATTCTTGCCTGAAACTCTAGATAATGATGGTTGACAAGATGCTGCAATGGCCTCGACATAAGTTGTCTTTAACAGTTTCTTTTCACAAAACATCAGTTTGTTTGTTTTTTAGAAAGAGCTCTCAGAGCTGCCAAAGTTTCTTGCATCACAAATCGTTGTGTTAAGGTAGAAGTAACTAGATAGTGGCAGCAACAACTACTGACCTACTACATCAAGGCAGAAGGTGGAACTACAAGACTTTAAGTGTGGCAACTGAGCTTGTATCTAGCAGTACTGGAGGTTTTTCTTAAAAAGGAGATTTTAAACTCAGCCTACCTGTGGGCTGCAGGAAGTCTGTCTTTTTTGTCAAATTCTAAAATCCATTTTCCCGAAGATGCTTTTTTCAAAAGAAAAAAAAAAAGAACTTATTTAAGAAAGTCCAGTTGCCTTTTGAAGAAGGCACCTTTGGGATAACCATGACCTGGATGACTTAAGAATCTCTACAGTCTAAAATCCACTAGATTTGCCAATCATGCTGCATTAACCATTTCCTGCCTAATTTCAGTAGAAATTGACAGAAAATAAATATTAAGTATTCTTTTCTGAATGGATACAAATTTATGCCATACAAAAATGTCACAGCTATGCTGACAGTAATTGATTTTAATTTTTTTTTAAAGTTTATCCACCTAGCCGTGGATAAATTCTCTCCCTCCCTTCCCCCATCCCCTCACAGTTAGTAAATGAAAGCTGGTTTTTTACCCTTTTTATGACCCACGTAGCAAGGGTTAATACAATCTTAATACACCACTGGCAATCCTGTAAGCGTTTGTTATTTCCTTTTTCCACAGAGAACGCTGAGAATTGTAGTTTTTTATTTAATGCAGTAGATGGGGAAATCTCCAATAGAGAATTCATAGCTGCCTTGCTACACTGTAATAGCCAGGAAAACCACAGTTGTTAAAATGACAAAGAGAAGTATTGTAGTTAGGGATTGTACTTTAAGAGGTAGCGGATATTGGAGGGACTGTTCCCATAGGGTAAAAGTTTGTAGTACTTGGCTCTTTTTTCCAGAACTTTTAGACTATATATTATAGCTCCGTCTTATGCCTTGATGTAGGTAGATTGATAGTTCCTGCTGCAAATATCTCCTTTTACCTTAACTCTGGCATTCATGATACAGAAAAATCAGGCAGCCTATACATCTTACTGACAAGTAAAAGAGAAAACATCTGGTAAAAATTAAATAAATTCTGTCATGTTATCTCCTGGCCCCTAGCATTAAAGGCTGTGACCAGGGAAATCACTTCCTCCCTCTGACAGATGAATCAATCTCACAAAGAATAAATAGAATTAAATGTTATTTCTAAAGCAAGGAAAACAAAAAAATAAAAATTCCTAGTCAGCTGTGATATAAAGTTTTCAATGGCAGGGGAGATAAATAAAAGCAGGGGTATGAAGCTCTCAGCCTGCAGGCTGGATGCGTCATCCACTGGCCACATCTACCCCTGGTTTAGCGAAAAGGAAAGTTGCAATGCGTCATGTAACAACAACATGTCATTACAAGTTTGACACTCTTGATGTAGAGAGTTAAAACGTGGATTGTGAATGAAAAGGATCTCCATAAAATGCTATAAAGAACTATAGTTTAGATATAATCCTTTAAGCAGATCACATAATGCTACTGATCTCTTACCAACCAACAGAAGTAATATAAAGTTTTCATAAAATGCAATTTGCACAGAACATAAATATTGAAAATAATAAGACATCAGGTAGCAGACACAGGAAAACAATGCAGTTCTTAGCTACATTTTTCTAGTCCCTTCTGGGGATTAGATGGGCCTTGGAATGTAAGTTACCTCTGTGTAAGCATATGTTTTGGAAATCCTTTGTGCAAATACCAGCTGAAAGCTAAGGGTTAAAGACTTATTTCCAATCACTCTATCAAGTTTGGTTGTTGATTTAAAAAAATTAAAAAATATTAATAGAAAGAAGATAATTTTGTGAGGGGATCTGCTTTTTGTACAGGTGCTAAACTTGACACAAAAATGAATATCCTCTTTCTAGGAAACAGTCATGTGAGAGTACTAGTGCATTACAATTACAGTACCCAATTCACTACAATTCTATATCCTTAACTAACTGGAAAAATTTCTTGTTTGATTCAGTTATCAAAACCAAAGTACGTTTATTTGGATAGGACTTTTTATTTAAGAATATAAACCTTGAGATTCCTATCCACTGAATTCTTATGCCATTAGCAATTTTTGGGGGGGAGCAGCAAAGCCAATTTAAATCACATTGCTGCTAATACACAAAAAATACATGAATGCAACAGAGGTATAATTAAGCTTGGTGTGGGATGCAGACAGTGTTTTCCATGACTAACAGCATAAACAGTTCATGTTCAAAAGTGGGAGGGGAAATACTGATTCCCAATCTGACTCTTTTTAAAAAAAATCATTTAAAATAAATGAATAAGTAGTTGATAAAGTGCAAAACCCATAGCCAGACTTTAGGATTATAATCATTTGAAAAAAATGCCTTTGAGTCCCATTGCATTGGTAGAGAACACTCTGGTTTACTTTCTGGTAAATGGATGTTTTGTGAGTAACCATGCCATATGACTATTTTGCAAACAGGCAAGTCTCTCGTGGTGTGTGTGTGTGTGTACACCCAAGATCTGCTTTCAGAATTCCAAGTGTATCCTAGTTAAAAATGTCTACCTCACCCTGCTTTAACACACAGTGTACTTCCCATACCACAGTAGCAATGCTTTAACCATACTTTCATTCTGTTTCCAGATGACAGCATGGATTGTGTTGATAACGAACGGCGGCCACACTTCCCTCAGTTCTCTTACTCCGCCAGTGGAACAGCTTAATGTTTCACTTGTCAATAACTTCAACCAATCAGACTGCATTTTGGGGACCTTTAATTTCAATGGACATTAGAGAACTCTCTACGATACATGAATTACAAACTATGTTTGTATTACGGTTTAGTTGAATTTGTAGGAAGCCTCACAGGCTATGTATTTAAAACAATCCTGATGAATTTTTGAGTCAGAATCTCTGCAATTTTGAGAAGGAAGATAAGAAACCATTCTTAATGCATTATAAAAAAATAAAAAAAAAACTTTTTCTTCTGGAGAGAAAAAAGGACATTTTAGGTTTTTAAGAATGTGCACCAAAAGATTTCTTTCAAAAAGCCTAAAGCTTTTGGCCGTTTAAAAAACAATACAAAAACAGAACTGTTTTTTATTTATTTCATACTGTTCATTATGTGTAAGTAGAAAAACTGCACTCTGAACAATTAGATTTATTTAGGATGAGAGGCAGACTTAGATAGTGCAATAATTAGAGCAGCAACATAAAAAACGAACAAACTCTGGGCCATTAAGGCCACAAGAAATCTGCTGGCAATTCTAGGATGCCTTTTATAGGAATGGCATGTGGGACTTCAGAGAGATAGAGTCAAGAAGAAAATGACGTTAGCACAACTGCTACTACACGTTACATATCAAACAGAGCTGAATGATCTGTTTTAAAATTACACACAATGTCCTGCTGAAGACGGCACATTACCTATACTACATTCTTGTCCCAGCATGTTTCTGGGAAGTTACACTTTAAGAGAAACAAATCAATTTTACATATTTCAACTGAAAACACTTTAGTTGCAAAAATTGACCAGGGGAGAGGGCATGATTTGTATACATTAAAAAACAAACCACGCACAATAGTCTTAAGTGAAGAAACATCTATCTTACTGAGCAAAATCTGGAGTCATATTTTTGGCAGTGAAGCCATAGACCCTGTTCATATATGTATTACATCTTTTCCCAACCTGATGCCTTCCAGAAGCGGGTCACAGCTCCAAACATTTCTGTGCAGCATGGCCTTTCAGCTGCCACAGAATTCTGCAGTGCATAATCCTGATACATCTGGAGGGCACCAGATTGCAGCAGCAGGTTTTAGAGAGGCATTAACATGGCAAGATGTTTCGCACATTGAAATCCCGTCCATCTGTTTTCCACTCTTCAGTGTACATTTTTAAAGGTTATGGGGGGAGGGAGGGCAAGCTGGATGGTACCACGATGTATGGATGAAAAGTCCATCAGTGGTTGCAGTGGCTATATGTAAAAAAAAAAATATTAAGGTGAAACTTTATACGATCAAGATTTTTTTTGTCTCATTTCTTTTGTTATCTTTTTGTCACTTCATTTTGTATTTTCACAGCCACATCATTCTGGATTTACCAGACAAAATTGTCTTTTTGCTTTTTGACACGGGCCAGGATTTTAAGCTCTCGTACTGTGAATGAGTTTATTCAGTTGTGGCTTTATGTTCTTTTAGACACGCTTGTGTTTATGTTCTCTTACCTGTTTAAAAAAAAAAAGACCTATATTGCAGTTCCTTAACTTTTTTTTTATTGGAAAGGGAATGTATTTAAAATACCCACAACTTTCCCTTTACACAAAATTCCATTGTTGTGTGTGTTGTACTTTTTTTTTTTTAACAACATTCAGTTCTAGTATTTTTACTTATGATATGAAAGTTTCCCTCAAAAGTACTTCAATAAAATGTGCTTTAACAAGTTAGTTTTGTCTTGGTTTTGGTAGAATGTATAGGTGATTTAAAAAGCAAAATTGATGCAAGCTTTTCTATATTATGCAGTTTTCTCAGTATCCAAGGCTCAACAGTAGCTATGAGGATTAATGTTACTTTTTTAAAAAAGTTGATCTATATTAGCAAGGATTTAAGGTGGAAAGAGGAATGGGCGGGGAAGAAATAGGGAGGATTCAGTTTGCTGGATTGTAAGTATCTTGAAATTGGTAAGTTCTTTAGTCCTCTGATCTTGACAAAGCTTGATTTCTTTGAAAACGTATGAAGATTATCTCTATATTTTCAGCTGCAAGAGAAGGAATTTGCGAAAGTCATTTAGTGACAATTTCAGAAGCAAACTCCTGGCTTCATACCTTGCTTGCACATTTCTTTAAAACAGCAGTAAGTTCAACAAGTTCAGCTTTAGACCCTCAATAGTCTAATAGCAATAGAACAGTAAATCTAACAACAAAAAAGCATGATCTTTAATTATCTTCTTCATGTTCGTTCCCAGTTGCTCAGCTTCACTGGTCATGTGCTTCAGAAATGTGTAGTCCGTATAATTACTGGACTACAGATTTCATCTTTAATCAGCAATTTACTCCTGGATGTGCCTGGTAGTTTATTGATTTACTAATCAAATGTACATCCTGCTCAATCAGAAGATTCTCAGTGGCTGATAATGACTTTAAACATCCCAAAACAAAAGTTTTCATACCTGCATGTGCTTTGTCAGCTATAAGCAGACTGAGTGTTTGAATCTCAGACTTTGCTACAATCCATGTGCTGATTTGTCCAGCTGAAGCTAATATAGTGTGTCTGGTCCCACTTTCTATCCCACCTAATCCTAACCCTGTTATTTTATCCCAGTCTGGTACCACAAGCTTGAAATCAAGATAAGATTTCATTTAATTTTATTAAATTGTATTTAACTTTATTAAAACGTTAAATTTCATGACACACACATACAGCCCAATATGACAAGTGGTAAAATTGGGCAAAGAATCTTAACTAAGACTTTTCTTAAATGAACACTGCTTAATTGATGTTTAAAAGGGTATGTTTTTAATGGTATATTTCCACAGGAGTAAGCTACGAAGTCCTGGTTTTACTCTTAAAAACTCTGTCCTAGAGACCTCACCTCCCAATACTAAACTTGAAATGCCCCCAAGGAAGATTTTCCGTAACACTAAGCATGTAGGGAAGAAAATGGTTTTATCACCTGGCTGACTTCGAAGTTGGAGCTTTTCAGGGCAAAGTATTACTTGATGGATCTTCTATCAGCCAACCTTGGAAGGTTAATTGTGATGCAATAGTTGTGCACAAAGCAGCTTGATCTTGTTTTACCTTTTTCCCATTGCTGAGAAAAGTGTTTTGGGGGAATAAAAAAATACTGGCTAAATTAAGCTTCCAGGTATAATAGGTCAGAAGAAAAAAGTGAAGAGGCACCTCAAGGCTACTTGTTGACAGTAGGTTCTAGCAGGACTGATGGATGCTGGTGCCAACTCGATCTGTTGTGTTGCATTAACACCTAATCTGTCAACTGTTGCAAGCAGAAACAGTTTGTGCTTTGTTTTCTTTTTGCATGGTCGATCTGGAACACCTGATAGAGCTCTCAAAACGGTTAAATATATATATAATAAAATACGGCATATGGAAAATAAATGGAATATTCAGCTATCACTGGAAAGGCATCTAGAGATATTACAAGGAAATCAGGATACAAGCCAAGAGGAATGTTTATTTATTTTATTTGTCAAAAGCTTACAATATAACAGAAACAAAAATAAACATAAGTTTAAATACAAGAAATAGGAACTAATAATTGGGGACAATAGGACAGGGACGGTAGGCACGATTGTGCGCTTACGCACGCCCCTTACAGGCCTCTTAGTAATGGGGTGAGGTCAATAGAGGTTAGCTTGAGGGTAAAGGAGTGGGGGTTTGAGCAGGTGACAACAGAATCAAGTAGTGAGTTCCAGACATTGACCTCTGTTGCTAAAATACTTCCTGCAAACAAGTGGAGTGGTTTACATTTAGTTTATATCGGTTGTGTGCTCTAGTGTTGTTAAAGCTGAAATATTCATTAACTGGTAAGATGTTGAAGCATATGATTTTATGCTTAAGTCTAATCTTAGTTGACGTAGTTCAAGGTTGTCTAAACCAAGAATCTCAAGTCTGGTGCTGTAGGGTATTCTGCTGTGAACAGAGGAATGTAGAACTCTTCTTTCTGACTCGCTCAATTGTATTTATGTCAGATATACAGTGCGGATTCCAGACAGCAGAGCTGAATTCAAGTATTGGTCTAACAAAGGTTTTGAATGCCCTAGTTAGCAAAACAGTATTACTAGAAAAGCTTCATAAAATTAAATGTACAACTCTTAAAGCCTTTTTGGCCATACTGTTGCAGTGAGCTTTTACACTTAGATCATTTGGTATGAGAACTCCAAGGTCCTTGACAAAGTGAGGGTCATCAACACGGTCATATCCACCTAGATTGTATTTGGTATATAGATTTTTTTTTACCAATGTGTAGGACAGAGCATTTGTTGGTAGACATTTGGAGTTGCCAACGGTTAAACCATTCAAACACATAAGGTCTTTTTGAAGGATGGTAGCATTGACGGTGGTGTTGAATAGTTTTTCATCATCAGCGAAGAGGACGCAGTTGCTAATAAGGTGATCAATGTCCTAATAGACAGATTCCTCATCAGTCATGACACACTTTACTTCAGGATAATGGGACAGAGTCTTCATGGCCAGCCTTAAGAAGCAGGATCATGTAGAGTCTGGCTGCTCTTTAGCTACTTTGGCCTTAAGCTATATAAGGCTTTATAAATTAGAAAACGTAAGAGTTCATAAAGATGCCACCGTATTCTGCATTAACTGTCACTTCAAAACACTCGAAGTGTTTCCAGCAGGTTAGGACATGGGTAAAAGCTGGCTGGGGTTTAAAAGAAAAAATGTTGCCTTGGTCCAGTAAGCAGATTGGGTGAGGTCAGAAAACTCAAAAAAAGGATGAACTTGGACAATGCAAAAGGTGGATTGGGCTTAGAGAGAACAACTCACTCAGTCACCTAGCCAGCTTTCATGGCTGAAGGACTATTGCAACTCAGTCTCCCTGTTTTAACATTAATGACTTTTTGTTCGTTTTCATAGATTGGTATTAGATGAATACAGTTATTGCCGTAGACCTGTCTTTTATCAATAAACAAGGCTGGAGAAACAATGTAGCACTGAAGTCTAATGAATATAATCTCCCAGGCTGAGATTGAATTTTACACAATCAGGAGCTTCTTAATCAAAATCCTAGAACTCAAGAAAACTCACTTGGTAAGAAATCATGGAGAGAACATCCAATGGTAGATTCCACTTCTACCTCCACTGTGTTTTTGGCATGATCCAGAGCAAGACAAAACACGGGGGGGAAGGGTTTTATTATTTAAAGCCAACTCATATTCAGTAAGATTTAATCTGAATCACTACAGAATGACACTGAAGGAATATATCCCAGTGTGTGATGACCTGTAGTCTCTCAAAATAACCCAAAACATATATTAAAGTCCAGTAAAGCCTTCAAGTTAACTTCACTGTTTTATTACTCACAGTTTAAAGTCACAAAAGTAAATAATGAGGCAAACAGAAAACCAAAACAAACCACATTGATGAGAGTTCTGAATCAAGCCGAGATAACTAATTATAAACTCCAGGAA